ACTCAGCTGCACTTACTGTGCCATGTAATGCTTATCCTGTCATGCAGGTGCTTGTATGCCTATGTGGCAGTGTTCTGCAAAGTGAGGGATGTCTGGAGTTGAGTTCTGCTGTGTACTTGCATGCTGGAAAACCACAGCAAATTGCCTGACTCCTTTTATCATGTCTGCTACAAGACCAATACACAAAGTATTTCTAGCCAAAGTCTCACGAGTTTAGCACAGTGTTGGCTCTGTAACTGCCCCCATCCATGAGTAAGAATGGAAAGGAAATGGACACATGGTAAGACAAGGAGGTAAGAAGAAACTGCTGTAGTGTAATGCAGAGGTCTGCAGCCAGCTTTGCTACTTTTTATCCTTGAAGGAAAGGCAGATCTCCAGCCCAGTATGTGTTAAGAAACAGTGCTGTCTGCAATACACTGGAGTATGTTCAGGCTTGTGGGGTGGATGAGAGGTTATAGATTGTGCTGATGGGCAAAGTCATTATGTCAGTATACATGCTGATCGTAGTGCTGTGCCTGTGAGAACATGTTAGTCATAAGTGGGAGAGGCTGTGGCAGCACACGTGTTCTGCTGTGGTTCTAAAAGCTCATTAAGGAAGAGTCTGTCACTAAGTGCATGGTTTGAGTGAAAAATAGAGCCTGACAACTGCAAGCCTTGTCTGTATTAAGACTTAATGCCCGCCAAAGACAGGATCACCAGAGTAGTCAGATGGTTCCGATCTGCCTCTGAGAAGCTGCTTTACAGAGCCTTGAAGAAACACCGTGTCTGCTCTGTGACTTGACATTGGCATGCACGAGCTATCTGGGAGCTGTAAAGAATCTGATGACTTTCCTGAAATACCTACTAAATTTCCTCTGTCAGGAAAACCATCTTGAGTTCAATTCAAAGAAATACCATAGTTTCTCTGAGAGGGGGGAAAAAGGAAGAATAGATGTCATTTGTAACTAGCATTCAACTGCTGGGACCTCTGGCAGAACTTTCTGCTTGAGCTCCTTCCATCATTACAAACACTTTGCAGAGTAACCTCTTTCAATGCTGCTAGATTAGGCAGCACTGCAGCTAGCAGGAGGTTGCTAGGTAGGTGGTAGTGGAAACTTTAGTTGGTTTCTAGTAGGTGGCTTGAGGATGGGTTGTCCCTTTTTTTCCCCCCAACTTCTACCTCACTCGGATGTACTGATTTCCAAGTAACTTTAGTGCTCTGGAGACCCAACCACTCCATATAGGGTGTAAGAGGTCATGTTGTCTTCATCACACTGCCTTTCAATGTTTCCAGAACAGCTAGAAAGCTTCTGCAGAAACATCTGATCCAAGGAGTGGATCACTGCATAGTACAAGCTGGTTCACAGCTGTGTTATTCAGTGACAGGCTTGTGGCTTTCTTCTTCAGCCTTTGCTGGTGCATCTCACAGTTATGCTAGCTGCTTAATGTACAAGACAGCAGAGCTCTTGGTGTCTAGGACCACAAAATGAGTTGCTTAGTAGCTGAATGAGCATGCTGCCTTAGCGATGTGGCTTGTTAGCTTTGTAGGCTAGGTAGGTCACTGCCAAATACTAAGCATCTTGTTCTCTCCATCCCTTGCATATCTTGTGCACAGATATTTGCCAAGGGGCTCATTTTACTGGAGGGTTTTCCTGTTTGCTGGCATTTGTGCATCTTATGTTTACTTGCCCTACCTTTCATGGTCTTGGTGAAAGTTTCGCTTTCTTGAAGAGCAAGCAGCCCTGCTAACAGCTGAACAAACTGAGCCAAGCTGCTTCTGCTCTTCAGTGGGTGAGGATGGGGAAGATGCCCCTGCAGCGATATCAGCCTTCTACACAGAATAAGACAGCAAGGGTTGTCAGTGCTGCCCAAACTGCTGCTCTGCAGTGAGGGTTGTCTGCTCAGCCCTGATCCAAGCGCAGCTGCAACACTCAGACATGAGCTCCAGCCACATTGCTAGTAGAACTGTTCCTGCTGTCTGCTTTGTAGCTACTTGTTCTCTGCTAATGCAGCACTGCAAAACTTCCTTGGCATAGGTGAGCTTACTTCCTCTGCAAAGTTTTGATCAGCATTTTAGAGAGAGTGGGAAGGGTGTTCAAACTAGAGTGCTGCTGAAATGGTTGCATCAGGGCTGCAGGTGACTGCAGCTATCTTGTGATCAGCTTCTGCAGTTGGCAGGAACACACAATTCAAGCAAGGCAGTAGATTTAATGCTAAGAATTAATGTCAAGAAAAAGAGGGAATCCTGATTCTTTGGGACAAAGGCTTGGATGCTATTTACATTTGAGGTGTGCGAGTTCTTTTCCACACCCAGTTAGCATGTTATGTAGCACTGATGATCCTGCTTGGCTTTATATGTTAGTGATGAAGAGACTTGTTCTTCTCAGCATATAGAGAAAAAACTCGTGCCTAAGCAGCTCCTGGAGTTCACAGCAAAGAAAGAGGATAGCTTTATGTGAGGGGATATTGGGGGAAGTTTGTCTGCAGGCAGCATGTCAGATAGCTGAAGAATTTGCTAGGTGTGAATCTAGGTGAGCTGCTGTCAGCAAGCTAGCAGTAGCTCATACATGATTTTGTCTACTAGTTTGTGGGATGAATATTCAGCCCAAGAAAATTGACTATATATACTTAATGTTTTCTTAATGAAGTCATGGAAACCTGAGTGAAACTGCATTTGTTTTTGTGGTCTCATTTTACAGGGGCTGTCTCTTTTAGTTCAGCTTTCCAGAGGAGTAAGCAAGTAAATGATTGTGCAGAATGTTTTATCTCCTGCTGAGGCTGAAAATCTTCGGGGTGTTGATCGACTCTCTGTAGACCATGCCATGGTGTGGACTCTTCCCTGTAGAAGTTCTCTTCATAAATGTGGGGGAAGTTAGGCCACAGTAAACTTAATAGGAGAGTAAGCCTGAGTTGGAGATCAAGGAATTTCAGGGTCTTCATATAATCTTGTAACTGATGTTCCAGATGAATGTCCATGTTGAGCAGGGCTGAGATTTTTGCACTGTTACCAGACTTTTGTTACTGTCTGAAGTGCTTCTGGTCTTTCTTTCTAGTGAAGTTTGTAACTGAGTGAGAATGGCTTGCCAATACTTGACCTAATGAAAACATCTGTTTTCAGTGGCCGATTGAGTGCCTCACAGGTGCTTAAACATCAGCATGAGCTTTCCACCAAGTGTTTTTTGCTTTTCATTGTTTTGGTTGGGCTACTTCTGGAACTCTGAATGCTCTTTTGGGTTTTGAGTTGTGAACATCCATGCTAAATGGAAACGTCTGCTCAGGGCTTGTTAATGGAACCAGCAGTGACAGTGAGTTTCAGAATGGCTGGTACAAATACTGGGGATGTGTGACTGGGACTTCAAGGGCTTTTGCTGCTAAGCTGCTTTCAAATATGAAAATATGCACACTACCTTGTTAAAATTCCTGTGTCACTTGGCGATACAGATACCTGAAATAGCCTCCTACTATGTGATGAAACTTACAGGGGAACAGTCTCGTGGCTTCAGATGAAACAGTGAGGGCAGCTCGGGCGAGTGTTCTTTGGCTTACACACAGCGCATTGATAGCCTAGATTGCGTTTGTTGTGTGCTTAGATGAGGTGAATGAGTTTGAGTGCTGACATAGATAGGAATGAAGTGAATTGACTTGAAATGTTAAGCAATGTTTTGAGCGTGGATGGCTTTTTTTAATCTAGCCATGTGAAATCATGTCTTGAGATTTTTCCCCATGGGATCCGGGTGACATTCAGGAAGCAACTGAGGTTGATTTGATACCAGGAAACAATCTCCTGTTGTGGATATCAAAGGCTGCTGTCTGCATGGCGTCAGCATGATTGGGTTCTTGGTTGCATTTGGCCATCAGCTCAAGGGGCCATGGGCACAACAGAGGATGTTTCTGCTTTATTGTACACAACATTTTGGTGAAGTGAAATGACTGCCTCGGTTTGGAGATGTCTGTAGTAGGTAAACACGTGGCCTGATTCGTGCAGATTGCTAAACAGAAGAAGTTGGAAACCAGCTCTGCGCTGACTACCATGCGTGTTCTTTTCTTCACAAAGCTCTGCAAAAAGCCATGTCTTTCCCATTGAGCTGCAAGGACTCTGACATTTTCAATTGAAATGGTTAATCTCCTACCTTGATCTGTTTCTGGTAAGCAGATGCTCTGAAGCTTAGGATGTCTTTATAGTACAGCAGATCATCTTGCTGTGAATAGCTAAACTGAGGGGATGCCTAACTCCCTGAAATGAATAGTGAATGCTTTGCTCTGGGACCCTTTTGTAATTGTTCCAAAGCTTTTTAAGTCTAGAAGGCTTACAGAAAAACTGAAAATAGCATGGGAATAAAATAGTGCCATGGGAATGGGCATATGTTTATAAAGCAGAGCAGAATTCCAGAGAGCCTGAGCTGTTGATGTGGTAGATAAAAAGTGCTCTGTGTTTGCATTTGTACTTAAACCTCTAGTGTTCAGAAGTTTTGGAGTAGCTGGATCCCTAATGTATCCTTTCATTTACGGCTGGCTGTATCTCATGTCAAGATAACCAGAGCATTAATCCATTAGTTAGGAAGGTCAGCATCTGTCTGTCCTGCAGTTGTAGGTCAGGTTAGTGCCAGGACAGTGGAGCCAGCTCTGAACAGACATGGCTGTCTTGCCCTAATTAGGAGCTGTGTTGCACCTGAATTTTGGCACATGCTCAGTATCTGATCTGCTCAGTCTAGTTGACCTCTTTGTTGCAATCTCTTTCCCCCTTTATTTCTCTTTTTTCTAGCTACAGTCCATCTTGTGTTATTAGGTTATTTGGGGAAAGAGTCATAACTAAGGCAAGTGATGAATGCTTGAGTTCAGGAAAGGGTGCTTTCTTGAAGCAAGCAGTGAGGCATATTCTACCAAGTGTGTTTCAGTTGTCTGTGTTGTCTTTAACTGTGGTGATTCCCTTTGAGGTACAGCAGCCTTGAGAAAAATATGATAAAAGCTTATGTTGGCAGGAGGCAAAATAAATCATAATGAATGAAGCATTGTTTTGCTAATGGAGAGTACTGAATTATATTCTCTTACTTCTCTTGAGCATTACGCTTCAAAATAGTCTGCAGCAATACTCCTGCAGTCTGGCAGCCTGCTTTGTTTTGGTTGTTGCTTCCTATACAGTGTTTTCACATGTACTGTACAGCTCTCAGGAAATCTCTGCCTCTTCTCCTCCTGCCAATGTTTTGTTCCTTTATCCTAATCAATGTTCCAACAGCTGAACTTGCCTGTAGGCTTCCAAGTGTGCTGTAGCCAACACCCTGTTGACAGCCTTTGTCCATGTGCCATAGGCCTTGGGAATGCCAGATAGTTCTTCTGGTTCTTTCTGCAGAACAACACGAGTCATTTGCAGCAGCCTGATGGTTTTTCTCCCAGCCTAAGCAAATTAGTTGCACCGAAACTTTTTAATAACCGTAGCATCCAGTCAGCATTAATGTGCATCTCCTTGGAAAGAGAGAACTCCCAGCAGCAATTTCAGAAGCCTTATGATGGATTTGGTGTCAGCTTTGAGGTGTAAAACTGAGGATTTGAGCTCATACAAACATGTGGACTTAAAGACGGGACAGTGAGGACTGTCCCATCAGTGCCGTTGCGCCTGAAGTCCATGAATAGTTTGCAATCAGCTATATTACAGCTTAGTAATGTTTGTTGGGGTGACACTTCTAAAGGATATCAAGGATTTTTCCTTTTTGCACTTCACGAATGATAAAGTAACAAGGAAAGGAAGAGGAATCTTCTTTCTTTTTAAGAATTACCAGATTTGAGCGTGCTGTTCCCACAGCATCCCCCAAATTTCAGTAAGAAGCTGTAGGGAGGCTGATGAATTGATCCCTAACCTAGGGCATACGTAAACCTTCCCGTTACCTTCAAACCGAAGCCTTGCTGCTTATGTCCAGTAACCTTATTTTTAAACCAGACCTGATTCATGTTCTATTTTCTATGCCAGATGAGGTCCTGGTTGTGAGTAAGTGTTGTGACTGTAGCTGGCAGCGGCCCCGAGTGATTGCCTCACTTCAGGAAATGTTAAAATAACACTTTTTTTCTTAGAAAGCTAGTTCGCTCCCCTCCCACTTTTAATTCTCCTAATAGCTGCCCCCAGTTTGGCAGCTGCCTGACAGAGGGTTGTTTGTGTTGCTGGGCAAGAGCAGAGCCACTCCAGTGGTTGCAGTGCTACAGTAGAGGCACGAGAAGTGAGCTAGGCAGGCAAGCTGGCTTCAGCTCTTTAGAGGGTTCTCTGAAATCTGGAAGGAAAACTGCTAAACTGTGAGAAGAATCTTGTTCCTCCCTCTGCACTCTGCATCTCAGGCTGTGATTTTTATTTTTATTTTTCTCCTGGAGAAGAGGAGCTGAAGCTGCTTGCTTGAGATGGGCCATATGGAGGTGTAACTGCTCTTAGCACTACAGCAGTCCAGTGGAGTCAACAGTTGCTGGAATGGGTGTTGCCTGAGGCTGGATTCAGCAGGTTTTATCTGCTGTTTTGTACTTGCGCAGTCAGGCCTTCAAGGTACTTTGCAAAGCTGGAGTGGGGCTAAGGAGAACTCTCCTCCACCCTGTATCCATGGCTGTTTGGTCAGCTGATCCAGGGAAGGTTTGTAATTCTTCAAGAGGATAAACTCTCATTTTATTGCCCAGCTCCTGCCTTGTTTGATCACTGTTCTGGTGAGATGGTTTGTGTTCAGTGCTGTTTTTATTTATCTTTTGGAACTGTTTGATTGCTGAGGGAGGAATAAAAGCTATTTATGGCTGGATAACCCTGCCTGGCAATCCCTGTGTTTGCATGTCTGGGGTATATAGCCTTAACTTTTGGGGATGCTTGCATTGTAGGGGTTCCCCAAGAACTTTCATTTACGAATGTTAGCCAGAAAAGCCCTGGCATCTGTCAGATCTGGAAGCACTGTGTAGGAAGCACTGGAGTACCTGCTAGGAGAATGCCAAGTGCTGATCCTGTGTGTTATGTGAATAAGTTATTTTGGAACTGAAAAAAACATTGTAGGAACCAAGATTGTTTGCAGTGCCTGTTCTACTTGCAAACCTTAACTGTGATCCTCTTCTTGAGTTGGAATGTGAATGTATCCATCCTGAAATGCAGCCTGCTTTCCTTTTCCTGTAATGGAAACTGTATTGTGAATGACTTGCTTTCTCCTGAAGGCCAGTTCCAGCACTAAAGCTGCAGAGAACTTTTTGCTGCTAGGGATGGCTCAGATCAAAGCTATGCAGAGTACTTTTCTGTATAAACCAGTCCCTTGTACTGGTCAGCTCTAGCAGGTTACTACGGGGCCCAAAAACACTAAACTCAGATGTATATTCTAGAAATTTACTAAAGTTGTTTGGATTCTTTTTCTGGGTATTAAATGCCTCGTGACTTTTTGCTCCTTCATGGAGCCTTAGCTTGGAGGACTTCTCTAGGGGGGTTGGAAGGAGGTGGAATAAATAACATCAGTGGGCAGTCTGGTACTTCACTGAGAGGTTGTGCTCAGCCTGTCCTTGTTGTAGGAAGAGCTGGTAGAAAAGCAAAGACAGTCCAGAGTGCTGTAATCTCAGGCATTACTGCTCTCAGTCTTCTGTTAGAGGAGAAATCCTTTGCTCAAATTCTCCAGCTTGGATAATGATGTAAAACCAGGGACAGCTGTACAGTCTGACCATAGATGAGCTCTCAAAGTTTAATAGTGTGGTAGTAAGGAGCAGTGCATTCACTGGAAGAAGATGAGCTCCAGTAGCTGAATCCATACCTCCTTTAGACAAGGGAGGAGGAATTCAAGTGCTTTTCTGAAGAGGGCATTAGTGACTTAGCACAGTGCCTGTTTCATTTCTGTCTCTGCTTTGCAGGGTGCAGTGCTTAGGTGGTATGCGTTACCTTCGCTGGTGGAAAGGAAGGATGGATTGATAAACAGGTCAATACTGTGCTCTGTAAATGTTGCATGCAAGGCTGTGTGACAGTGTTTAACTTGTCTCTTGTTTTTCTTTCCATCCATTAGGCAATACTGACTAGCTGACATCTTGACAAGGTCTCCAAGCAACGTTTTCTGTAGAGCTGAATGAAAGCAGAAGCAGCTGGGTGAATTGATGAGCTTGCCTTGGGAGCCTCTAAGTAGGCAAAATTGGAACCCACGATGGGTCAAAAGGTCACAGGTGGGATAAAGACAGTGGATATGAGGGACCCGGTGTACAGACCATTGAAGCAGGAGCTCCACAGACTTGACTACAGCAAACCCACGCGTCTGGACTTGCTACTGGACATGCCTCCTGTATCCTATGAAGTCCAGTTATTGCATTCATGGAACAATGATGATCGCTCGCTGAATGTATTTGTGAAGGAGGACGATAAACTCATATTTCACCGGCATCCGGTGGCTCAGAGCACAGACGCTATCAGAGGCAAAGTGGGGTACACACGAGGACTGCATGTGTGGCAGATAACGTGGGCAATGCGGCAGCGAGGCACACATGCTGTGGTAGGGGTGGCAACAGCAGATGCCCCTTTGCATTCTGTAGGGTACACCACACTTGTAGGAAATAACCATGAATCGTGGGGATGGGACCTTGGGCGTAACAGACTGTACCACGATGGCAAGAACCAGCCGAGTAAAACCTATCCTGCCTTCCTAGAACCAGATGAAACTTTCATTGTGCCGGATTCCTTCCTGGTGGTTCTGGACATGGATGATGGGACACTGAGTTTCATTGTAGATGGGCAATATATGGGTGTTGCCTTTCGGGGACTTAAAGGGAAAAAGCTGTATCCAGTGGTCAGCGCAGTGTGGGGACACTGTGAAATAAGGATGCGCTACTTGAACGGACTTGACCGTGAGTATAACCTCTGTATTAGTTCTATCAGCCCAAATCTGTGTGCTGCTTACGTGCAAGTTTACTACACCGCTGAGGGTTTTCACTTTTGTGGAAGAGATGAGCATTTCATGTCAGCAGTAGGATTTAATTTCCGAATGCTTAATGGCAATTGAAATAGAGCTTGTCTGACTAGGTAACATGTGCTACTAATGCATTGCAGGGAGCAAGTGAAATTCAGGAAAGCAGTATAATGAGAGAGGGTAATGCCAGTTGTTTATCTGGACTGACAAGCCTTTTATACTGCTACCAAAATGTCAAGAAAAGGACATTCCTGATGACAGTTACAATGTTTGCAATGTAATCCTGGTGCTTCTTTACAGGGAGCAGTCTCTGAGGGACAATTCTGGTAATTCCTTATGGAAGGACTTTAAAAATTCCCTGCAGGAAGGAGTGGGAAGATTTGGTCCCTGTCTGAGGAAGTGGGAATGTCTCATCTTTGAAGAAAGTAGCTTGCCTCTTTCATGGCAGGCTGTTCTCATTTCTAGTGCGGGGGCTGGATATTGTAGCCAGGCCGTCTTGCATGCTAGGTCTTCTAGTAATAGTAACATCAATCCCTTGCTAAGCTTAGTAATAGGTTTGGCTGCCGACGTATGCTGAAGTCTTATCTCTCATAATGGTTTCCATTGGGCCATATTGTGACTCTGGATAGGATCCTCTGGATAGGATGGAGAAGAGATGTGAAGGAAGTGGATGAAAATCTGGATGGTTGTTACTGAAATAAAAATCAGGTGGTAAATTGATAATAAAAAAGGTAGAGATTCCCTTGCATTTCAGAACAGCGCCTGTCCAAAGGCTGTGGCACACTTGGCTTTTATTTGTGCTCAGAATGTATTTGTTCTAATGCTGGGCCAGCAGTGGCAAGCTCCTAGTGCTGGTGACGTGAGGTGCAGCCAAGTGGCACTGGGCACCAGAAAACTGGGCACCAGACTAACCAGAAAAGCCTTGTGAGGACATCGGTGTACAAGTACTTTGAGAAACATGCTAAAACTCAGACAAGGTACCAATACTGATACTTGCATACCTGATGTGCCCTGTCTTAATGTGGTTAGAAAGCAACACGTCCTGGTCAGACCAGGGAAAAAGGGCCATATAGCATCTCCTGCTGCTTAAGTGCTCTGAACAACTATTTTATCTTATTCAGTGGTACGATAGCTATTCACTGACACTTCAGAGGAAGTTACTTTAAGGAACTTCTGGAAGTCAAAGTAAACGCTTACTGTAGGGATGTTGAAAAACTCTCCTAATGCTCAGTAAAAGATGTATTCTTTCCATATTTTTTTTTTCCTTCCTACAGTCAGCCTTCTTTCCATCAGCGTTTTAGTGGATGAGCTTTTAGAGCAGGAGAGGCTGAATAACCCAGGAGAATTGCGGTCTTTTGAACTGAGAGCTCCTGGCAAAGCATTTTCTCACCAACAAAAAGAAAGAACCTAGCTTATCCTGCCATGGCAGCAGCTCCAGTAACCAGGTTTTTGGTAGGGTCAAATCCAAAACTTGCAGCTCCTTTCAGAGCCAGCAAGCCTGTGGAGCTGTCTGTGCAGAACTGCACTTAATAGGGAAACAGCCACCTCCTGTATTGGATTTGGTTGTAATGTGCTCTCGGCATAGGAGTGAATCATGGGCATAAGGCCAGGAATGACAGGACGCTATTTTGGCACACGTAGAAAGGAGGTGTCTGGCTCTAACCACTTCTCAGCATTCAATAGCTGCACTGTGTCCAGTGATTGTAGTGCTTGTGAATGGAAGAAGGTCAGATATGTGTGTGCCTTTTCTTCCGGTCTATCTTTGCAAAGACTGGATTATCAGAGCAGACTAGGTGAGGACAAAGTTCTTTTTCTTAACCTCTGTGGGAAGGTGATCTTCTCAGCTTTTAAGACTGTTAAATGGGAATTATTTGTTAAGTTGATGCCTGTAGCCTTTGAAAGTCCAGACCCCTTGTCCCCTATGGCCACTGTCCTGTGGCTAGACAATATCTGTCCAAGCTATCTCTGTACAGAGCAAGAGGAGCTGGGACAGATTTGGAATAGGGTGTATTTGTACTTCAGAGGGTACAGGTTTTAAGGGTAAGCTACACTGGCAAGTGCCAAAGGAATGTTGCCAGTAATAAGTTTCTCTGGTAGTATCACAGCCAGAACTGAGACGTGTAGTCCTGCTGTACAGAGAGACCTGTGCCTGCCAAGGAGGCAGCATGGATCTTGAAGTAGGTCATGAGCAGGCAAGAGCAGCAGTGCCTCGAGCTGAGTGTAGCTATGCTCTGCAGGAAGCACTGAGCAGCCCTGGGGCCACTATCGGCACAGAACACGGGTGACAAATTGTAGGGCTTGGGAAGGAGCAGCAGTGCCCTGACAGATCTGTTTGATTGCTCTCCACCCACCAATTTCTGCTGAAGAGGTGTACTTACAGAGGTATGATGCCTCATTAATAATGCTCGAAGCACAAGGGCAACTCTGGAGAACTGCTGTAAACAAACAAAAACATTGTGCTGCAGCTTCCTCTGCAGAAGGTGGTAGTTTGTGATACTTAGCAGGGGTTGACTGAGGGAAATAAGGCATTGGTCCAGCTCTCTGCTAACTAAAGGAGTTGGACCAATTTGAGTGCAACTCCTGTTACCAAGTGTCTCTTCAGCAAGCAAGTTCTCCTTTTCAGAATTCTTGCCAAAAACTAGATAAATCGCTTTCTCTGTTGCTTATTTGAAATGTTTTGTTGTTTTTTTTTTTTTTTTAATGTGGAGCAGTGAGATTGTTTACTTTTTCCAAAGTAGAATCAGGAGTGGCCTAATCAGAGACTACTGACAGCACTTCTATCTGAGCTTTTTAGTGTTAGTTATTATCCTTGAGCCTGGAAGGAAGGGATTTGTGTCCACCTTATTGACAGAATGGCTTCTGGTAAGAAATACAGTAACATGATCATGTGTAGAAAATAAGAGAGACTAGGAAAGCTTAAAGCAGCTGCATGAACAATCAGATTAATTTGGGTTGTAGTAGAAGCTGAAGCCGGTTGGCATCTATCAGAGTTTGTAAAAATTGCTGCTTCTCAACCAAACTTATCCACAAAAATGCAAGTCTTTAGGTGTGTTTGGTCTAAGATGTCTCTAAGCTTTCTAATGATGCGTGCTGAGCGTCGTTACTTGGCTTGAGATGCCTTTGTTTTAGCTGTCTCTTGGGGGAGGAAGAACCCCCCACCCCCTTGAGCAGTGTGCAGGTGAGCTTGGACAGACTTGGTTTCTCACAGCTTCTGTTGGTAATCTGTACATTCCTTCTGTGCAGCTGTAATGTGTTCACTCTGGCTCTGACCTCGATCTCTTATGCTACAAATGACTCTTCAGCAACAAAGGACCCCACATACCCTGCCTGAAAAACTAGTATCATCTTGTTCAATAAGCGTGTAAGATGCCAACATAGTAGCCAAAGGCTTGTATTTTTCCCAGGTTTTTGATGTATTGTGGCATTTCCCATCAGGGTATTTCTTCCTACGAGTAATGACATGAAGCTCTGACATACGGTTTTGCTTTCTTCTTGGGATGTATGTAGCATAAATGAAAGGGGGGACAGTTGTTATCCTATTATGTAAAAAACACATCAGTACTTCCTGGGTACTTTTACCACACGATGCTATCAAACTGCAGTCTTTCATTTCAGTAAATCTTTTAAAGCTTTTTGGATTCTGCAGCGGAAGGCACAAGCTAGACCTTGTGCACTAACTTTAATGAATGGTATTGCAGAGTGTAAACTTTCTTCAGGGAATCTGAGTATCTTTTCCTTCACGCAGTTCTACAGTGCTGTCATGCTCTGCCTGCATGTTTGATGAGCTGAAGCTGCTGATTTGTGAATGCTGAATGGCTTGGGTTTTGTGAACAGGCCAGGCATTGCTCATCCTGCTCAGTTTTTGTGGGGGGAGGGATTTTTAGAGTTAACAAAATGAATACGTAGCTTGTAGGTTGAGATGTTAATGTCTCGGGTCTTCTCTTTTCCAGCTGAACCACTGCCTCTGATGGACTTGTGTCGGCGAGCTGTGAGGCTTGCTCTGGGCAAGGAAAGACTGAATGAGATCCCTACCCTGCCACTGCCAGCCTCCCTCAAGAGTTACTTGCTCTACCAATGACCTTCATGTTGTGGGACAGAGAGTTGAAACCAAGGCAAAATGTCTGGAGCTGACCCACTGGGCAGTGGGTTCACCACCCTCGTGTCATTGCTACTGTTGGAAATCCTTGGCCAAAGTACTCCTGTTACTGCTAAAAATCTCCATGTGCCCTTAATGGCAAGCTCTCGAGTCTTTATTTTGCGATGGAGTGTTTTGTTCTTTGGAAGTCACTTCCCCAGCACAGTTTAAAAAAGGAAACTTAACAGAAGCTCTGTGCTTCCCTGCTTCTCCTGATAAAAGGCTGTACTGCATCCTTGGGGTCACAGAGCCTGGGAGTGAGCCCTTCTGTAACAGTTTAAGGGAAGAGCATAGCTGGGGGAAGGGAAGGCACTAGGAGTGATCTTAAGACTAGGTGCTAAGAATGGAAAGGCATGGGGTGGCCAGTGGAATTGGGAAGAGTCTGGAATACCAAGAGAAAATCATTGCTGAGTTCTTTAAAAACCAAAAAAACACAACAAAACCCTAACACCAAAACCAAGAACCCTTCCACCAGGATGCTTTATTTGAAGGAAGTGGTTATATTGCTCATGTCTGTCTCTGCCAGGACCTCTCACCATGTTCTAATGTTACTTCATAAAAAGTGAATCTTGCTTTCCTGTTTATCACCATCACCTTCTCAGTTCTCCTGCTCCATTCTCTGTCCTGCAGCTTCTGAGTGGGTGTCAGCTGACTGAGCAGCCACCCCATGTCTTCACCTGCCCTCTTCCTCTTGAATGAAAGCTGTAGGTTTTAGTTTGGGATTCCTTGCTGATGTGGGGACAAAGAAGGGGCAAATGTTTTCTGCAAAGCACTTCTTGGTGAGACAGGCTGGATGAGCTCTGACACTTGTCAGACAGCTGTAGGTCTTGCCATCTTAGGTCTGCTTTCTGTTTAGCCCGTTCCAGGCTAAAGCTGTAGAGAAACATAGTGGTTCTCTAATGACTTCCAGGAAATTTTCTTCCTGAATGGATCACTTAGTCACCCAAACCAGGCTTTCTTCTGCTGTAGACCATCAGCATGATCTCCACTTAGCTATGCAGCAGGAATAGTTCTGTTTCTTGCTTGGGGTTGGGGAAGTCATCCCAGAGAAGGCGGTAGCAACGTGACTACAGTAGTGCCATAGGAAGACCAGGAATGCAGAAAGTGGCTGCAGAATGTAACGTGAGACTTCGGTGGGGTGATCTTCAGCAAGAAGAGAACCTCCCCAGAGCTGGGGTTTGGCAGGGGAGATCTTCAATAACCAGGACTAGCAATTCAGGCAAAATCAGCACATCCCAAATAGATTCTTGCCTCAGTAGCCAGGTAAAGAGAGGATGACACTCCTTTACTAGCAGGAGCTGCTCTCTTGACCTCTCTGCAGGTTACTATGCTGCCTTTCTGAGGTTATTTTGCACATTTCTTTGTCTTGAAAAAAATATTTGTATGGTTGGTTTTTTTTTTTTTTTTGCTCTTGAGTTATTCCCTCAGTTCTGTGTAGGTACAAATGAGTTTAGTTGTTGAAAATGTTAATATATATATTTGTGGTGTATGTATAAGAACATGTTTTAAACAGCTGCTGTAGGGTACCTTTTTAAAATTAAACTACTTGCATAGTATATTTTTAAAGCACAGAATTGGTGCCAAGACTGGGTGGGGTGTGATATGCCCCTTTCTTTTTTAAAACTAATATTTTATGATTTTTTTTTTTAACATAGGGGTTTGTACTAGTTTCTGTTGCAGGGTGGGACACAAATTGCACAATAAAATACAGTGTGTATGGAACTCTACATGGTTGCCTTCAGCTGAACCAGTGTCTTCCCTAACTGCTGGGAAGCAGCTGTGTTCTCCCCACTTCTAATACTCTTACGCTCCTTTGTCTCCATCTCTTCTCACTTCTCCATTACATTTTGTACAGTTTTAAACTCTCACATCCTATTTTATGGCTGTAGATAATACTCAATAACCTAATAAACTTTATTAAATATTGCTTGATGATACATTTATTTGTATGAGGCGCTCAGTGTTTTCTACCCCTAATGTCTGTGTGAATGATGAGCTTCCTACTAAGAACCCAAGCCCAACAGGAAGAACATCTCAAAGCTGGCACGTAAAAGTGACGTGGATGGCAAGGTGCAGCTAAGGTAGGGAGTGGGAACCTGAGATTATGAGTCTGCTGCTAGTGCCTAAAGACAGCTATTCAAGGTGGAGCTGAAGAAAATTCATGACTCATTACTCCACTCCTATTTGAGTGGATTCAATAGACTGGGGCTCCAGTTATCTTGTCAAACTTTATTCCTCTATTGCAGCAGACAAGCATTATTTTTCTTCCAGGAGAGAGGCTCATGTGGAACCAAGGCTCTAACCTACCGCTTCAGTTTGCCACCTGACTGCTCCTTTCCATCTTAGGAGGGGAGACAGTAAACAAAAGAAAGTAAAATAAAACGGATCCTCAAGCCAGTAGCACAGCATGCAAACTAGTGGAAGTGCTGTGGCGGGTCAAGCCAAGTGGTGGGAGCTGGCACTGGATCGCATGCACTCAAGAAGTCTGACTTCAGTGCATTCTGGATACTCTCAGCTTACCGGCTTGATTTACTCAAGTCACCTGAGTCATTCCCTACCCACTGCTGTAAGTTGTGGTCAATTTCGACAGATCTGTTTGCACAGGAGGCTTCATTCCTGGGCTGTGAAGTGTTGTGGATTATACTGTTTCTGGAGCAGAAACTGTCTCTTGCTTGCTCCTACGGTCTTCAATGGCTTCCACTTTCAATCTGAGCAGTATATGGGTGCTCTCAAATTCTATCAGCAGCTCCTGCCAGACCAGAGCTGAGATGGCTTTGAACTTAACATCAGTTATGACAAAGGTTTTATTTCTGCCTCCTGTCCTCATACTTTTCCATCTTGCCTGCAGCTACTAACTTGCGTGTGAAAAGCAAATGATTTCATCAGTTCACATAAACACTACAAAATGTGAGGCTCAACTAAAGCTCAGAGGTATGCTTGTGAACTTCCTTATAAGGGTACTGGGTGAGAGAGATTTGTTCTTTTTTTTTTTTTAAAAAAAAAAAAAAACTAAAAAAAGAATTGTTTCTTATCCATCTCCAATCATGGCAATAATTTTTTGGATTTTCGAAGTCTTCATCTTGTTTGTTTTTCCCATTCATAGAAGACAATTGTTTGTGGATCCTAAGTTAAGTAGCCAGCATGCTGAATAATTGCTGTTTTGTTCTGCTGTGGGTAGTGGGTGACCTGAGTGAAACATGTTTCTTGCCAGCTTCAGGGCAAGGCTGCCTCTGCTTTGCTAAAGTGTGACTTGGAGGGTTGCTGGGAGCGCAGCAGGCTGGGGAGGGCCCGTAAGGTGGGGCAAGTGCAGAAGACTGAGAAATTAGTTCATGCTCGGCTCCAGACACCCAAACAGGCTTGTGTTCCAACTGCATGGAATATTTGAAATAAATGACCTGCTCCAGGCTGGGAGTTCGCAATGTTTATGTACAGCGCCATGGTGACAGCGGAGGAAGTCATGAGATGGGGATTGGGCCTGCTGGAATCAACAAATGATATCACAGATTAGCAAATCCTAATGAATCAGTGGCTTTCTGCTTCCCCTCCTATTGCCTGCATGTGGCAGGCAGGCCTGCTCCTTTGTATGAGCAACATTAAAAATTACAAGTCCTGGTTGTACTCCTAGAGCTCCTTGAAAACTAATGCTCTTCCACTGGCCAGCATCTCTTATGCCTCTGATGTTGCTGGCTAACCATATTTGTGCATGTGGAACTTAGCTTCATGTTTTATAGGAGGTTTCTGGCTTTAGTAGTTTGATTGCTGTTGCCTTGCTGGTGATGCAGGAGAACTGTGACAATCCTGCAGAGAATCTGGCTGTCGTGTTGCTGCCATGGGTAAGCAGGAGCATAGCTTTTGTTCAAGCTGAGGCTTTGGTAAAAGTTATTTGAGTTTAGAAGTGTGCAGAGGAAGCTTTCTCTGGATGCCTTCAGTAGCTGATAAGGAAGTATGCCAGTACTGTAGCAGTCATGTCAAAATTCCTTTTAAAAATAAAGCTGTTCTTGGGTGTAGGTTAGCATGTAGCACGTGAGTGCCAGTAAGCATTCCTGCTGTAGGTCTTGGCCAAAGTTATGACAACGTAAACAAAACAAAATTGTGAGGAGGGGAAGGACAGTTGCTGATTTTCTCCTTTATCTGCAGCGCTGACGCACATTGCTAATGAAATGATTTCTCTGAGCTCAAGCAATCTCCTGAACAGAGCCCAGCTATCAGGCTCTACCTGTCACATTCCTACCCAATCTCTTCCAGACAGTCTTCCTGTTCCCTATGCCTGAGATGTACAAACTAGAAGCATTTGCATTATGCATTTTTTTTTAACATCACAGTTGCACTTTCTTGCCTGAAGAAGTTAATACAATCATGACAAACTTGCTAGCATGACTCTCCCATGTATTTCCTATGCAGAGCTAATGCTGTTGATCTTCTGCCAACAACCATGTTGCAGTTGACTGGAGAGGGAAATACATAGTGATTTATTTAGTAAAGTTGATTAAAATTAAAAACCTAACCCAAAGCACAGCCTTTCTTGGCGTATGAAACAGTCCTGAAGGAAACAAAACCCATTCAATTCTTGCACAAAGCACACTGAGCATTGATCCTATCCTTGCACGTGTTTTGATTTGAGATTATTGCAGGCTTGTCTGCCCTTCAGACAGAGAACTATTTGAAGCGGCTGCCAGATGTTTTGTCTGACTTGTGTTTTACAGCTTGCTTACTGCTTAGCATTGCTCTTCCCATCGGCTGTTCATGCTGCCCTTGTGCATTCTGTTCCTGTGGCATCTCGGTGCCGGTTTCCTGCCTGTCGCACTGCTCACATCCACACGTAGCACAGGGAAGGTACAAGTCTGTGTGTTTTATTCATAGGCTCCGTATTGCACGTCTGCTGCCCAATCTGCTGGCCTCATCTGGGACCTTTTCTGGGACTAGCACAGACCAGCCACATTCCTTTGCTCACATGTTGCCGCAGTGTATAAAAGTTAAGGTGGTTTGCAGTCTCTTAAAAAAAGCAGCCGTGGCCTGCACAAACAACCCTATTTGTATTCAGACCGTGCTATACAGCACTGACCAGCTGCACTTTCTTCATGGCTCGGGCTGCCTTTTGGGTTACTGTAACTTAGCTGAGCAGCAAAACTTTCCCTCTGTAAGTGAAGTGAGCAACAGATTCCCAAACGCAACGAAGCAGATCAAATGCCTCAGTATTTTTTCATAATTATGATATACTCAAGTCAAGCAGGAGATGTCCCAGCCCAGCAGGGATGCCTTCCTGTTTCCCTGTGCTCACCCAGTTCCAGCAGCATCCCAGCCAGTTACAGTTTGTGTAAAGCCACTTGGCTGGGAGTAATGCGATGTGCCTGCGGATGTCTGTGCTGCTGTTCCACGCACACATTCCTCCAAAGCCTCACACAAATACAGTGTCTTAAGGCACAGAATGCATTTAATCTGTGGTTTTTCACTTTGCTCAGACTTGCATCTCATAGGAATCAGGGGGCTTCTCAGGTGCCTTGTGCTGTGTTTTCACATCTTGTATGATTGCTCCGCAGTCAGCAGCTCGTGTCCCAGGGAAGCCTTGTGGTAAGGTGGTACTGGGGGGCACAGGCCAAGAAAGAGATGCTACTTCTGGATGACCTTCTTGGTTGTCCTGGGAGTTCCAAAATACCTATTCTTATGGGCATCTATCCACGTTTCACTTCACTACCTCTTGCAGAGCCACTAACTATTATTTAGAAGGATCTAGCAGAATAGTACTGACTGAAGCCTGCGTATGAAAACATACCTTGCAACTTCCTACTACACGGGGCAAGTAAGAAGAGCAGGCAAGGAACACCTGCCTAAGATGGCATCAGGCCAGGATGCAGGTGTTACTTTTCTTTTTCATCTTACAAAAAAATACTGCAGGTTTCCCACAGTTGAAGCTCTGACCAATTTGTTTGCTACCTTTGCCCAAAGCAGGCACCTTGGGAGGGCAGGACTTCCTTGTAGACTGACCAGGTGGTTCATTGATCTGAAAGGTGAAGTGCTGCCTACTGAATCAATAACTTAATTTCCTGCCACACATGAGATGTTTCCTTTGGAATTGGACCACCTAGCTTTGATAGGGTCTGTTCCTACTTAATTTGAGGTCCTACAAGAGGGAGACTTGAGGAGTAACAGCTGTAACCTCTGAATGCCATCTGTATTTTTCAAACCGTCTAGACATCTGGGTGGATTGCACACATTACCAGCAAAGCCAGTTGATCATGTCAAACTTTTTCTTTCTGTATAAGCCCCTTTTTGTTTTGTTTAATGAGCTATAAAGAAACCCAAGGGAAGACTGACTTCAGTAGACAAATGGGGAAATCTGATCGTTACGGCTGAGATTTTGACATTCTTCATTCTTACCTGGTGTACACAGTGCACAAATTCCAGGATTTCAGAAATTATTGGCTGTGGTGTTTGATAATGATACTCTGACCCACTGAGGCCTCAAAACAGGAAGATATATTTCTGCATGACATAGGCTCTGTGAAATGCTGTTACATGAAAAGATGACTGAAACAGTGCAGCACAGTAAGAAATTACAGTGCTGAAAATGAGATTTATGGAATGCTAAAAATGAAGTTTTAAATTGATTTAAAATTTAAATCAATTTAAATTGGAAGCTGGAAGAATGAGCACTCTTGACTCCTAACGAGGCATACTTCTTAGACAAATACAGAGGTTTTCAATTGTTCTTAACTGTTCTGAGAGATGCCAAGTATCTGTTCCAAAGTGATAAGATCATCATCATTAGAAAGCAGGTGACTTTTCATACTCACTCTGATGCGCTAGTTTGAATTACAAAATAGCCTTTAAAAATGCAAATAATCTTGGGGTTAAATTGTAGACAGACATTTCTGGATAGGAAGCCATTCTGAGAAGATGCATCCTGAAGTTAGGACAGACTTCAGGTCG